TCTCTTCCATCACAGATATTGCTTTCGTCATAAAACCATGACAGATGACCGCAGATAAATCGGGAGAGCTTTAATAAATTGGGCTCCACGTCTACGGTTAAAACCGGCAGTTAGTTTTTTTTTTTTTTGGGGGGGGGGGGGTATCTCAAGCTAATATTCTGAGGCCAATGACCGTCTTAACGTATCATTCTGGCACCACGTTTAATTTGTCTGGGAATCTTGAAATTCAATACCGCACAATTGATGATAATATTTTGTGATCTGTCACCAGAAATGAAACATTTCGCTAAATTTTACGAGCTATCATTTAAATTCCACCGATCCGGAAAACGCTAGCTCCTCACGCATGGACTGAATTTCAAAATGTTTAAAGTATTCGTCATGTTACTATGTTCTGCGTGATATTTTGATAGCAGAAAATGTACTCTGATAGTTGCGGCTAAGGAAGGTTCATCGGGATCCGTGGCATGGCATCATAAATTGGACGTATTTCTATCAAACGGAACTATGTACATTATGACATGAGCCCTGAGACCCATAAGAGTATATGCATAACAAGGCTCACGTCATAATGCACATTCCGTTTGATAAAAATACGTCCAATTAGGACTCTCGTTCTGCCGTACTAAGGAAGAACGCCGTATGAACCTTCAGGCGTTGCCAAATTTCCTTTGATGAAATACGAATTTCCTGGTAAACTTATGAATATTTTTCTTCCAATTTTTCAGATAATTTTTCTCGCAATTCCGCAAAAAGTCATGAAAATTTTAATGCAAAATACTATCAACTTTCTTAAAAAAATGAACACTTAATCTAAGGAAATTTGGCAACTCGCTAATGTTTATACGGCGTTTTTCCGTAGCACGGCAGCATGTTGTCCATCGACGATGCGTGAGTCTGTCGGCAGATATCATCCCCTTGAGGTGCGTCCTCAATTACGTCGCGTAGGCGGACTTGAGGCGGATCTACCGGAGAGTACGAATAGTCATCGAAAAACTTCTTTTATCCTTGTATTGAGCGACAAACAGTTCGTAATATAGACTGTGCGAGTCGTTTTACATTAACCTTAAATTATTTATTGCATACACCATATTTACACGACATTTTTTCTAACAATAGAAATAATTGCAATGGATATGAAAATGGAGGATACAAAAGTATGCAAGAGAAGAGACAGAGAGGGAAATATAGGAATGTTTTCGGAAATAATTACCTCCTTGCATGGTCTCACTGACCGTCGGTAAAAAATTTCCGCTTAAAGTTCGCCTTCAATTACGCCACATAGGCAACACACATACAAATTCAAGGGCTTTAAAATTCAACAATGCTAGGGCTTAAATAGTTATATCACGCAGAAAAACGCCCCATGCCTCGCTTGTCTTATAAGCTTTAATTAAATAGGGCAGTTAGGCTTCACTCTCTCGGCAACTTTGAGAGGATTTCATCCAAATATACGATTTACAACTACATTCAATGATATAAATAAAAAACAAGCGGGAAAGTTCTAAAACGTTCGTAATAGAGAAGCATCAGCTGTCATTTTGTATTCAAAGTTAAAAATACAAATTTTATGAATTCATGGGGCACCGGTAGTACTCGAACCAACCGGAAGTTATGAAAAAATCTAAAAAGAACTCAGCTGATATGAGACGTATCAATTTTCGCTTTGACAGCATTACCATAACAACATTTTCTATGTAGGCGCGTTTTTAAGTTAACGGAGGAAGATAAGCACCGCTGAGAGTAAAAAAAAAAACTCGCTGAATGAAATAGTAAACAATCAATTTTGAGAAAACTACACCACCGTCAAAACAACAAATTAAAGAAAAACGACCATCGTTCTCCTTGCTACGATTTCAGAAGCAAGAGGGTTCGAATTTAAGCACTCAGATACAAGTGCTTTGACTAAAATTTCAAGTAGAACATTGTTCTTGCATCAAAAGTTACTCAAATCAACTCCTAACTGAGATATTAACGTTTTAATTTTACATAGGTTACAGGAAATTTGAATTATTGCCCGGTCACAAGAAACTCAACCCTGGTAAAAACTGGAGATAACTGCGAAACTGCGTTTCAAAATACCATAGGAATTCTTATGGCCGGCTAAAGAAGGCTACAGAAAATCCTATAGCTGGCTGTAGAATGCGGAGAAAATCACACGGCCGGGCTATACGAAGCGATAAAAAATTACGCAGCCGGGCTATAGTTCCTATCGCCGGGCTTTACACTTTATCGCCTGGCTGTTGCTTTTCGCCATCGATTATAAAAGGCTATAAGAAATGGACCACTAGATAAGGTACGAATTTCAGCATTCTGATTCATGTTTCTTTACCAAAATTTTACGTAAAACACGATGCACACAACGAAAATTACCGAAATTAACTCCTGACGAAGATATTTAATGATTCTTGATGCGGAAATTCAAACCACCCGCTCATGAAAACTCAATGCTCTACGTGATTCACATCGCGCGCTAAACATGATCATGACAGTCTCTGCGATATAAAAATCTGGCAACCTCAATCTTGACGCTTTGGCTCAGTTATAGCAAATTGTTTATAGTTTGAACAACACATGGTGGGAAATGAACATTGCTCGATTGAGAAGCTTGCTGAAACCGTTGTAGTGGGCGATTCGACTCACGTAGAGCTTTGAGTTTCTTGTGAGCGGGCAGTTCAAATTCCTCGTAACCAATGTGAAATAAAAACGTTAATATCTTCGTTAGGAGTTGGTTTCAGTAATTTTCGTTGTGTGAATCGTTTTCTACGTGAAATTCTGGTTAAGAAACATGTATCAAATTGCTTAAATTCGTACCTTGTCTAGTGGTCCATTGTGTAGAAATTCGTGTGCTTTGGAAATCATTAAGTTTGATACGGAACCACCTTAATATTTACAAAACACACATTATATTTTCCTTTAATACGTATTTTTTTTCATCAATTAAAATGAGAATAGTCCATACAGAGTGTGCAGACATTTCAAAATCATGAGTTGAAAAACGCTGACTCCGCGAGATTAAATATTAGAGCCTAACACAAAGCGGAGCGGCGACGCACTGGCGCCTACAAACCTAACTGGGATACTTCACGCATTGCGCAATGCGTGAAGTATCCCTGTTAGGTTTGTAGGCGCCAGTGCGCGTTCAGCGCTGGCTGCCCGCCCGCCGTAGCGTACCGCGGCGCTTGAAGCAACTATTTCACATCAGTGGTATTGCACAGTATCATAAGGAATTGAAGGCGCTCCAACATATTAAGAATGACAGGCATCCTCTAAAAGTACGGAGCTTTCCACGCAAAATAAATCAAGATACTACGGCACAAAAAGAGAGCGGTAGTCCAAAAACTAACTGAGTCCTGGTATCCGTATTTAGTAACGTTTAGCATACACTTTATCGCCTGGCTGTTGCTTAATCGCCATCGGCTATAAAAGGCTATAAGAAAATGTGTAGCCGGCTATAGAAGCTATTGGAAATCTTACAGCCGGCTGTAGGTCTATGGTGTTTTGGAACACAGATTCTACTGCCAATTTTTGCTAAGATATACTCTACGAGATTCAAATCGCGCCTCATTACAACGGTTTCGGCAGGCTTCTCAATCGAGTACTGTTCCTTTCCCAACCTTTATCGTTCAAAGTGTAAACAATTTGCTATCTGAGCCAAAGTGTCATGATTGAGGCTACTATTATATATTTTCGTATTGCAGAGACTCCCGCGGTAACGTTTAAAGTGCGATTTGACTCACGCAGACCATTGAGTTTTCATGAGCGGGAGGTTTTAATTCACGCGTTAAGAAACATTAAATATCATGCTATGCTTAGGAATTAATTTCAGTAATTTTCGTAGCGCGAATTGTGTTCTACGTGTAATTTTGGTTAAGGAATATGTATCAGAATGCTTAATTTTGTACCTCGTCTAGTGGTCCATTGATCCATTCTATAGGCACGTTGAAATCAATGAGCGATCCCTATCGGCTGAGGGCTGAATTAGATATATTTTTATTTGCATTTTGCACACTTTTGATATTTAATCTTAAAAAAATAAGAACAAATCCTTCCTGCTCGAATCCACCATCATAAGATTTGTTCCTAGGTGAAAATTTCGTTTCATTCTTGTGTCAAATGGCGAGCAGTGCTCTCGACCAGAAATATTTTTACTGTGCATTAGGGGGCATGCCCCCTGACCGCTTCGCAGTAATATTTAAATAAGTCTAAGAACTATAAAAAATTTGTTTGATACCTCATGAGTTCATTCATGGTTTACTCCCACCAAGGTTAAATCGCCAACTGCAGGATTAGGTTCTGTGGTTAAAATAAGACTCTTTTCTTCCTCTGTTTTCGAAAAGTGCTCTCAAAGGGGCCACAAGCTATAAGTCCCCCCCCCCCCGCCAGTTCCAGTAATTAAATCGTTTTTCTTGCATTTTGGCAACGGTGATACACCGAATCTCATGAAAATTGGTCCATATACCTATAATTTGATACGCTGAATTCTTTAGTGACTCTAGAAAAAATCGAAATCTTAGTTCTTATAATAGTGGGGTTGTGGGAGGTTTTGAGGAGATTTCATACTTCTTGCCAATAAGTTACATTTTAAAAGACCCCTCGAAACTCCAGTTTTAGCCGGTATGTCGATTTTTCCAATGTCACCAATAAATTCAGCGTATAGAATGATGCATGAATAGATTTCAGGCGCATTACCTTAGCCTCCATTAAGAGCTCTCTCAGCAAAACTCCCACGGAAGAAAAACAAAATCTTAATTTGACTAATAGAACACGCGCGCTTTTTCAGTCTGGCGATGAACCTTGGATCACCCTGTAGATGCAGATGCACCTAAGAATTTGACGGATCGACCATCAAATTCCAAATCCCTAGGTTGATCGTGGCCGGTGCACACTGTGCGTGGCCGGTCGTGAAATCTTGGTGGCGCGCATGCGCGGCGACCCACAGTGGCGATCGTCTCAAGCCTCCGGTAGCGTCGCCGCGCCGGTAGAGAGTTGCCACCTCCTGAGAGAGCTAGTTCGCCGTCAGCGCTGCCACCTGCAACGAGAGCTCCGCGTGTTCCGACCGTTTGTTTACATTCGCGTGCCACCTGATTTGACCGTGCGTCTAGATCAGGCGAGAGGTGAACTGTCGATCGTCTCTTCATCACCGCGGAGTCATCGGCCCTGTTTGACCATTTCTCCAAATCGGGTGATCAGTGAGCGCCACCGAACGTTTGTTTACAGTTTTGACCGTTTGTCTGAAAGTGGGTCGAGATTTAATCCTACGGCGAATCCTGCCCGCGGTAGTTTCCCAAGTTGCACCGAAATTTCGATTCATCTTGGTTATAGTCTAGTCGGAGAAGTTTTACCATTCAGTGTCGTCGTTTCTCCCTTCGTTCGTATCTTTAGCGGTTTAGCGTGATCATATATTTTCTTCGAATTTTTTTTTAAATTCAATTTTAGGTTCGAATCACGAGGCTTTAAATTTATTTCCTACCCGATTCATTTTTTTTTCGTGCGGAAAATCCTGAAAGCGCGTAAAATTTTCGACTGTAGTACCTGCCCGAAATTTGGAAATAAATAAGGAATCGTCGATCGACACGAAAATGGATACAGAATCAGAAATGTTGCTGTTTCCCCTTCTCAGCGTGAAGAGAGTCGCGTCAAAATGACACCAGCCGATTCTTATTGAGTGCGTCTGAGTCACGGGGAACCCCGTGAGTGCGTAGCAGTTTTTCTCGCGGTGAAAATTTCGCGCGGGTGACTGGATTTGTTCCCGTTGGTTTTCCACAATTTTCGAGATGGCCTCGTCGAAAGTGGCGCACCAACTTTCGGACTCCCTCTCGAAGGAGTCTCCATCCTCGGTCAGTTCCTCCGTTAGTGATGACTCATCCGACAGCGAGAAGGACTTTGGATTAGAGGATTTTGACATCATCAAAACAATAGGTAAGACCTTGTTAGCCGTGCCCGTACACCTTTCAGCTTAATTGTTATCCATGCTGTTGCCATGTTTCCATGTTGTTGCTTTTCCTCTTTCGGTAGGTACTGATAGTTCTACGAAAGTGGAGCGGATCTAGGATTTTATAGATACGACCCTCTTCTGAGGCCAAAAAAGAGGGAAGAAAGAGACGAAAGAGAGGGAAAAGAAAAAAGAGAAAAACGATAAGAACAAGAAGAAAGAGAAGAACGAGAAGAAATAGTGGCAGAAATGACCATAAATGAGGGCATCTTCAAAAATATTGAGATTGGATACCGGAACCTTAATAGAGACTTTTCGGTAAAATGAGTATGCCAACAAGTCAAGATATTATAAAAGCGCAAAAATGATTGCATTTTTGCATAAAAATTTCATTTTTGACAAGAGGTAAAATATAATTGTACCAGGAAAGGCTGAAGGATCTCAGAGTCATTCTCTTGCTGAAGACCTCCATGCAGTCGGAGCTGCATCCCTCCCCAAAATTCGTTTTTCTAAATTTTGACAACGGCTTTGGACCAAAGCTTATGAAAGATGGCTATCTTATACAATTTCTGGTGCTGAATTTATCAAGGGTACATAAAAGTCGCTCCTACAACGCACTCGGGCGTTCTACGACACCCAAACGCCACATGTGCCCATCTTCGCAGAGATTATCGGGATAACTGACATAACGCAATATCTCTTCGTCAACGCCTTGCAGTCATCCCTTCATGTCGCCTTTCCCCAAGTGGTGACCAATCCAATCAGGACGCCTCTTTGAAATATCAGACACACCGTTTAAAACAGGGGGTTTTCCTATAGACTCGACAAGAATTCTCATTAGGGTACCACTAATAGGAATTTCTACTGATCCAGCAAATAATCTTCAGTACACATGGACAACCTCTCCGAGCTTGGCAGCAGAAAAGTCAGGTGGCTGCGCTGCTCTTCTGCAGTTGCCTACCTGACCTGCCGTAACAAGTGTTGCACCAAACAGCAATTCTGTACGGGGGAAAATTGTACTCGAATGAATTTTTTCCGCTCTGTTATGAGAATTTCAGTTTTATACGGAATTTTATTGCTCATTGACAAATGCATCAACTCTCCTGTCTAAATAATTGTTCTCTTTGCAGTTGTGGATCTTTCAGATTAAAAAACTTGCCTCATCTTCCAGATTTCTGAAATTTCCCATAAGCTCGATGTCTATCTTTAAGGTCACGGATACATTTAGAGGTAAAATTATGAGGAAGAGTCATTTTTCATGAGTATAGGTCTGAAACGGTCGCCAAATTCAGACAAACGATGATTTTCAAAAACTTTTAGGAGCCGTATAGTTCCAACCGGGTGTACCTATCGTTGAAGAAAAAGTTTGTTAACCCTTGCAATAAAGCTCTACAGTCTGACGTTTTAACCCTGAGAAACCTGGCATATGAAGTAGAAGACATGATTTCTTATTTTGTTTGGATTTTTTCTCTCGTTCCTCTCATTGCTATTAGTTTTGGCGGTGATGTAAAAACCTATAGGTACAGTTTACTACAGTCAGGGGTGCAAGCGTTCTCTTTGTTTTTTTCTATTGATTCCTTTGCTTTTTGGACCCATTTTGAGGGCGTTGATATTTAATCAAGTATAATCCTTGACATTCGTTCCCGGTCAATCACAGAAAACTCTTGAAAATGAGCGATTAGATTGGAACGCTTGGACGCGACGACGCAGGATCATATTTTGTGCGAATAAAATTTATAATTTTCGTACTCATTAATTTATGTTTGATTAGATTAATTATCTCGCGTACCGTTCTAGACCTAATAATTTAGGTCCCTTTTATAAAATTACTGTAAATTACCATTACACGTAAATCACACGGAATTTATAAAACTCAAAATTCTGAAATCCCAGTGAGGGCGTCGAACGAAACTGAAACGCGGGAGTGGGACTCACGATAAATGTTTGTACATGAAAGATTATAATGCACTACATTTTTATCAATAAAAATTATTTCCTAATACAAGGTTGTCTATCATTAAGCTCGTCAGGTGCGCGGTAATCTTAAATTATCACGTTAATGACGCAGGTCTATAAACGGAATTGCCAGAATTTGGATGCCACGATAAGAGACATTTGACGCCAATCTGTCCAACTGTCAGGGCAATTGACAGTGTTGATTAACGGACATTTTGATTCGACGCCAAGTCGATTGAAAAGCGCACGAAGCATTGAGCTTTTAATCCACAACCCACCGTAGGTAATAAAAAACCACTTTATTTTTTGAGTCTCTACGTCACAGTTTGCGCGCTTCGTGATTTAAAGAGGCAAAATTTGGGTAGAAATTAATGAAGAGATATCGTGTATCGGGTGAATAAAGACATGGTGAACCTATTTCTGAACAGTCCTCCAATGCAGGATCTCTTCGATTCATTGTAAGGTTGATCATTTATTTGTAACACTTCCAAAGATTCAGGGCTGTAACGGTGTATCCATAGTCGTTTGTTAAACAGTGCCTTTCCTTTTGAAGTCCCATACGGTTTACATCGTGACCAGGGAGGCTAAGAATACGCTTATTACAGCCTCAAAAAGGACCTTTCAAACGAATCTGGAACAAAATTCAACTCTATAACTTTGGAAATAGACCTTTCCGGGGGAGTATAATGATTTATCAATGCTAAATTAGAAATACAAACAAACAACTCTTGTCTGTTTTAGGAATTTTAAGGTTTAGTGCCTTATAGTTTAAACAACATCTTCGATAATTATTTCTCTGGTATTTTATATTTTTTCCAGTGAAAAAGCATTGTTGCCCATAGCAATGATCTATTTTCAGAGTTGTAATCGTTGAATTTTCCTCGATATTCATGAAAATTGTCTCCTTCGAGGAACTATGTTGGGGATTTCTTCAAGCCCTCCTCACTCACGATGTAGACCACATGAAGAAGGGGAGGCTTTCCAGGGAAAGGAGCTGTTCCAGGAACGGTCATAAATACGGCCCTATGATAGTAGATAGACGAAGAAAATGAGGAGACGAAAGTGACATTAAAATAATAATATTTCATGTATTCATAATGATATTTTTTTTTAAATGTTTGATAATCTGGTTCCCTCTCCTAAGTACAAAACAAAACAGAAAAAAAACACTAGACAAATTCAGAGAAAGGAATCAAATGTGCAGTTTGTTCACTCTTTGATTTCATTTTGGTGAGATTAATTCAGAGGAAGAATAAGTATGATGCCTAAGGAATTTATTTAAACAATAATTGACGAGCACACCTCTTGTTTGCCAGGGAACTTGGTCCTTTTCTGTTGAACTCCGTCTATTTGCGGTAATTGAATCGCTTTATGTTCCAATACTCTGAGAATCCTTTTTTCTTTTTTTGCATGTTGGCCCTTCTGAGGGGTATGTCGGTACTTACTTACACTTTTTTTGTGATAAAAACTGTCAACACGCCTCTTTGTCCTTGTCTAGAGGTTACACCATCATGTCTCTTTAAATATACCTAACGAAAATATGATAAACCTTTCAAAACTCATTTTCAACCCATTTTCCTCACTGGAAAGTTTCTCATTTTTCCCGCAATTCCTCGGAAAAGGGCGTAAATCCAACATTTTAAGCTAGCTTAAATGGGCCTCGAAAATTTTGCACCGAGGATTAAATTATTTCCGACTTTTCAAACGGATGTTGAAATTATTTCCGAATTTTCAAACGGACGTTGACCCATCCTTTAAACACTCTAGCAAACTTTTAGTCATCCGCTTGACGAGAAAATCAATCGTGTGCCTCCACTGTAAAATTTTATTTTAAGGATTTTCAATGTCCTACCAGAAAGCGATTCAATTCTGATCCCTCACGGATTCAGATGAAATAAAGCTAGCGCTGCCGATAGCGGTCGGCCTCAGAGACGAATGTGACGACCACTCTAGTGGTATACGTTGTATAGGTGGGTATACGTGGGCATACCCTGTTCGTACGCCAGCCAGAATGGCAACAATCAGGTTCTTTCCGATCTCCACGTGGGAATGAAAGTAGGTACATGTTAAGTCTGATGATAAATTGAGCAGAGCGATCCACACAAATTTGGCCGGCCTAACCAACGCGCGGTGTCAATTTTACCCACAAGTACCTTTTTACACGCGGTACATGTTTGCGATCCGAGCATCAATAATTGGATCGCTTTTAGCAGAAGGGAACCGACACGATTTTAGATGTTTTGAGAAAATCGAGTCAGAGGGCTCTGAGCTCCCGTTTTTGTAAACCGCTTGTAACAAATTTGGTTTCGCCATACATTAACTGGATTGCATTTTGCAAAAAAGGAACCAGAAGCATTGCAATGACGCTAAGATTGTGCAACTTCATCCTTTGTAATTAAATTACTGAAATCATGAAAAAATATGAAATTGACTTCGTAATTTTTGTCTTACATTTACAGTTTTTAGCGAGTAAAATAGAAACTGTTAATGGATTACTATGTTTTTCTCCCAAGACAAAAGAAGTTGCACAATCTTAGCAACATGGCAATGCTCGTGGTTTCTTTTTGCAAAATGCAATCCAACTGTATGGCAACCCGTTGCTGGGACTTATTCAAGCTTAAAGAACTGAAATTTTAATAATAAGTATTAAATGTGACAGGTATTCTCTCTACGTTTTTACGTATTTAACGGAATAATTTTATAGAGGGGAACCAACTCACAGCTGGTTCCGTTCTGACTTCTGACTTGTCTCGAGATCGTAACACTGAGTTCACAGCAGGGAACGAACTCAAGTTGAATCCTTTCAGCGAATTTTGCTTGCAACTGAACTGAGGGAGGCGTGGTACCGCACTCGCGAGTAAGAGCCTTCAATCACCCAGCTATGCTACAAGCCCAACAGGAAAACACGAATGGTCGTATTATTGTTTTCATAGATAAGTTGCTTTGTAATTTTCATGAAGAGCTATTTGTTGGCACTTTTAGTTCCCTTCTGAGAAGTTTACTAGCGCCCAACCCAAAATATCTGCAGTTT